CGTCCAGCTGCTGGCGGCGGACCAGAGGGTCTGCGTCCATTTGATAGGAACCCTCTTTGGTAAGAGCTCTGCTGCGGCCTAGCAGGGCAGCTGGGGGAAGGCAGTTCCCCCTTTTTTCTTTTAATAGATGTGTAAACGTGGCGCTTCTCCGCATTTGAAATGAACAAAAAAAGCAAAAGAATATCGAGGTACCCAATTCCATACTTCCACCGTCCTGTGTTAAGGGTGTTAGCACTCCCCTTGGAAAACCGCCTGCCGTTTGGTTTAGAGTAGGTTAATTAAGCCCCTTAATTAAGCCCCTCATTCCCCAGGGAGCAGGATTGGCATGTTCGTAAACCGCTTGCCATTTCCCATAGTACCTTGACTTTAGCTTTAAAGTCTTTTCTGGAGAACGGGGAGCGCCTGGTGTACGATTCTCCCCTGAGCGCCCTCCATTCTGGTCTTGTGTCTTGGCGCTTTCTCATCTTGCTGAACTCTGGCGTTACATAAAGATTCGTACAGAAATGAAAACGTGAGCTGAAAAGGGTGTCGCAGGATTTAATAACAAATGTGCAAAATAGGAATCTGCATAGTGGTGTTCTTTTTTCACGCCACCACGTTGCTTTTCTAGAAATCCTTGTGGCCGTAGGAGTGTAATACCTGCTGTGTTCTGGTGGGTCAGCCTCACAGCAGAATACAGTGTCTGGTGCGATGTCAGAAAGTGCCTTTCCAGTACCAGTCTCTATGGTCTTGAACATCTCTTACTGGTTTGTGTTGGCACAGCAGTGCTGTGGGAAAGGTCTTTGAAATGTCTAAAATCTTGACAGAAGAAATAATGGTCTAAATGAGGGAATAGTAAGGCAGGAAGAGAAAGGTAGAAGGCATGAATGCAAGTGCCTTCAAAGAGCAGATATACTGGATTCCTTTAATTCCATGATCTCATTTGCACATCACAGATAATTCTTGTCCTTTGGGGGAAAGTGACTTACGAGCCCCTTCCCCTGCCTTGACGCGCTGAATAATTCAGTGTTTTCCCAGTTGTTTTCCCAGCACAAACGGTGTTGTGCGTGTTTTGGGAGCAGCTTTGTTAGAAACAGAACTTTGTGCAGGATTAGTTCTCTCTGTTGCACAAATGTTCGTTGGGCGAGCGCTGCCTGCACGCATAGTCCTGTATGGATGTGGAGGGAGCGCTGTGTGCGGCCAGCTCCGTCCTACACTGTATGACCCTAACACAAAATACCACAGAAGACAGGGGAGCTGTGCTTGCATTTCAATGCTTTTGTCTGCTTTTAAATAATTATTCTCTCTCTCTCTCTCAGCAGCTTTGCAATTGGATGGCTTGGGGACAGCTTTGGGATTTTACTGTACTTGGTGCGACTTCTAGAGTAGTTGGAATCCAAGCCTGAGCTTGGGGCTGCAGACAATGACATGTACATTGTGGATAGAGCCTAAATGAACCAAGGATCATTTGGTGCAAGAGTGTAAAAGGGACCCCCAGAGGTTTGAGCAATGCTGTGGAGGAAGTATTGATAGTAAATTCAGGAAAATACATTCATTTTTGGAGAGAGAATATTGGGATAAGCACGGGCAGAAGAAAGAGGGTTAGGAGAACAGAGGTGTAGTGTGGAGCATCACGTATGAGGAGACAGGGAATTTCAGGTAAGCCTGAATTTCAGGCAGCTAATATTGCAATGTTCACTAATGCTGTATACAAATCTTTTCCAAAGTGTAAGGAAGTTACTGAGGACCGGGCAGATGAGGCAGGAAATAAGTAATTTCTTCACCTGCAATGTCATAACATTGCTTTAGTTGGTCAAAATTCCGAGAGGTCATGGTGTCTCCGGAGCGGAGGTAATTTGATTGGGTATGTTGAAGCAAGTGGTTTGGTGTGGCGGAAGTGAGGGTCTGGACCAGATGCCTGATGCTCTAGGTACCTGAAGTTGAAAGGAGCTGGAAGGTAGACTTTCTTGTCTGTTGTGTAGAGTGAGACAGTGGCTTGTTTTAATATAGCCACTCTTGTTGTGTAAATGGCTTGTGAAGTGGTGCCTTCAGGTTCAACTTAACTTTGGGATAATTTCCGTGTGCTTTAAACCTGGTGTTCAGATTTGGTCTCGGGATTCTCAGTACTGTGGAGGGAGAAGACTGCTCATGGTAATTAGTATGAGTGGAAGATAGAAAGCACAGCTCACAGCTGGGCTCTGACTTCCGTCATTCTGGAGCGTTGCTTCAGATGTGTAATATTGGATACATGCAGTGAGATGTGGCGGTGGTAGCAGTTACTTATTTACTTACATAGGTGGAGCCATTGACTTCAGCTATAAAGTATGTCAACAAATTTGCAGGATAACTGAATGCCTTGTGTCCCTGTGTCCTGCTTATGGAGGTGCCTTCTGTGATACTCCCTGAGAGTGTCCACCTTCCTCTGATGAAGTCAGGCTGGTGTCATGTGAAGCGGGGAAAACAAAACAGTTCTGAAAAAAATGTGCAGCTCTTTTTACAAGAAGGCATTACAGCACTGGTGATCACAAGCAGGAGTGAGTTCCGTGACTGACTGTGGTTTACCTTTTAGGGATGTTGCATACCGTGGAAGACAGCGGTGCCCTGGACCTATTCGTAGAAGGTGAGAGGCAGATGCCACGTCTCAATTACTGACAGTTTGCGAAGGGAGGCTCTGTCTTGTCTGATAACTACAGTGAGATGCTCAGCTTCTACCCAGCTTGAACTGGGAACAGCCTCTATTTTCTATCAGTACAACAGTGATGAGCAGACTATTCCAATATTTGGGGGCAGGGGAGTGCGTGCAGATTTAAATATTTAGCATTTCTCTCACAGGTTCTATGTGTGCCATGAATTTAGTGTCAGATGGGTAATAGTGGTAAACAGAGCCTCATCTTTGGCATCTTTGAACCTGCCTGAAGTCTCAAAGCAAATGGAAATCTTCCTGTAGGTTTCAATGAGCTTCGGGATCTACTGCCTTCTCCTCAGGATGGAGAGTATTTGGGATTCAGCTGTATGGGCTGCAGATTCCTCTTGAGCAGTCCTTCATTTGAAAGATGAAGGAAATGCCTCCAGGGCTGACAAAGGAATCTCTGCAGTCCAGTTAACCTTGGATGTCTCTGCTGAGTCTGATGATGTTAGCAATGGAATGATTTCCTCCTGTCCAGCCATGAAAGATTAAGGGAGGTGTGACCAGCTCCTCCCTCCAGAGGGCTTTCAGTTTTCAGGCACTTGCTTGAAATGGTGTTGAAAAGGTGAGAAGTCTTTCTGTCATGTGGAGAGACAGATGCTCCCAAACGGAGGAATTTTAACTTCGTGTTACCTAACTCTTGGAAGTTTTTAGAGAGTCTGAGAGTTCAGGGCAAGAAAGGGCCATTAAACCATCTATAAATCACCCGTCTCAAGATACGCCTCTGCTGAGATGCGTAGCTCTTTAACTAAAGTAGGTCTCCTAGATAAACATCCAGTATTGCCCCAGATATACCAAGAGATGGCAATCCTAGAAGTCTCTGGTATTTTTTTTTATGGCACTTTCCTAGAATACAAATTAAAAGTGTGTTTTTCAAATGAGTCATGCCATGACAGCAAGATACATCCAAGACACCATTACCAAATCCTATGGAACAACGTTCTGCAGAGTCTCAGTAAGGGGGCTATTGTCAAGACTTTATTTGCTGAATGTTCAGGTGGCCAGGTTCTAAAAGTACCAGAAGAGGAACTTTGCTTCCTGAAACTGGTCCACTGGTGTTTCTGTGGAGGCAGAGGCAGCCAGGCAGCATCCAGCACTTCCCTTGTGATTTTGTTAGGGAAATCCTGGGTGATGTACAGCCAGTGCCTGGTAAACGTAGTTTCTTGTTCATTCCTTTTATTAGGACAGAGCGGACAGAGTTCTTAAAGTTGCAGTGAACCAAGAATAACAGCCCTTACTTGGGGCTGAAGAGGTGAACAGTGCCACAAAGGTGACTGGGGCTTTTCTGGCAAGGTATATGGGGTAACTGCAGTGGGGAGGAGTGGCTGATAGGCTGCACTGTTACCTCAGGGGCAGTAGCAGCTGGAGGAGGAGCTCTCAGTCTGCCTCTAAGGGTACTCAGCAGTTTCAGTTCCAATGTCTTCTCTGGAAAGATACATTTTTGAAGGCCAATTTTTATACTGTAGGAAGCCTGCTCTATCCAATTTCCAGAATTTTTTATGCTTTTAAGATAGGGCTTTGTTTCCTTCCCTTCCTGGTTCCTTATGTTTACTTGGTGTCCTGATGCTCGATTTGTTGCTTGCAGTTCATTTCCATGCATGGTTTGTAGCGCAGCTAGAATGGGACTGCTGTCATGTTGCTGCAGAGAGCTGGGGCTGGGCCATCAGAAGTAATAGCGCTGGGAATGTTGATGTTACCCTGCTCTCTCAGCACCTTCGTGCTCATTTAATTTCTAAGCTCTTTGCTCGCTGGTCTGCTAAAGCCCCGTGGAAGATGGATTGTGAGTGCTCTTGGGTGTGAATTACTGATCCGCTTTCTTCTGCCTAGTTCTGGTGCGGCTTGTAGTGGAGCTGAAGTCAGAACAATACTTACGCTGCATTTTGGATGAAAGCCAAAAAGAGGTCAGTGAAGATGAATTCCCTGCCCTTCCTTTCAATCCTTCAGAGGTTGAGGAGATGGGAATGAGTGGCCTTACAAGACTGCACGCTGGGATGCAGCCTCTGCTGCAGTGGGATGTCCTAGTGCCAGCTCCTCTGCTGTGATTTTGGCAGTGTCGGTGTCTACCCTGGAGTTTTCCTATTTTCCTTGCAGCCATACGGTTTCATGATGCTCTTGTGAAGCTGTGTGGCTTCCTCAGATTCTTCTTTTCCTACCTTACTGTTTTAGTGACATGGGGAGGTTTCCCAACCTGTACCGTGGGCTCTTGCTCTCTTCATTCCTGAGTTTTTGATGGTCCTGTGGGGTACAAAAAATTGGGAAGTAGTGAAAGTGGGGAGAAGTTCAGCTAGTTCATCTGCTCATGTAAGAGCTGGTAGGGGAGAGAGAAGAAAAGGTGCAACAAGCAAGGGATTTCTTGGATTAATGAAAAGACATTTTGGAGACTTAGTGGTGTGTTCAGGGTTTCCTGTGGTTTATCCTAAGTGGTGAAGAGGACCCAGCTTAGGACAAGATCCTATTCTGGAGTATTATGTATCACCGAGAGCTTGCTGGTTTAGGCACATTTCTGCCTTTGGACTGTGCCATAGAATCACAGAATTGTTTAGATTGGAAAAGACCTCCAAGATCATCAGGTCCAACCATTAACGTAACACTGACAAGTCCACCACTGCTAAACCATGTCCCTAGGCACCACATCTACCCATCTTTTAAATACTTCCAAGGATGGGGACTCCAACCACTTCCCTGGGCAGCCTGGTCCAATGCTTGGCAACCTCACCAGCAAAACATTTTCTTTCTCTGTCTCCTCTACAGCTGTGCAAAGCAACTACCATGAGAGGCAGCCTGCCCACATTCACGCTCTTGGGCAAGCTGGCAGATGCCATCCCAGGCTTTGCTGATATACTGGTGGTAGAGCACAGTGAGTAATGTGTCATGCTCCACTGAAGGGTAGTGTTCACAGCCTAATAAACATACGTGTGCAGGCATTTCCCCATCCCCTGTGTGAACTCGTGAGGGTCACACAAGAAGCCTGTCCAGAAGTTGGAGTGGCATTCAGGCCTCCTGGGTTGCAGGTCAGTACCTTCATAGCAGGCTTGTCATTGTGCTCTTAGCCAGCCTGGCAAAACTGGCCTCTGAGAACTGGGGTTTGCGGTCTGCCTCATAGGCAACACACATTTAGTTTTTCTTTCCTTGGTCCAGCCCCGGGGGTCTGGTGAGCAGGCTTAGCTGTTTGTGGAAGTAGCTGGGATGATGGATCTTCATATGATGAACAGCGAGCTCCTCTGGCCATTTATTACTGTACCTCCTCTGTTCAGAGCGACAGATGGTGGTGAGCATATCACCTAATTTTGGCACTCGTTAATCTGCATACACCAGTCTGTCCAGGTGGCTTTTGCAAGTTTTCAAGGGAAATAGGTCAGTGCTTTTAAAAAGTCAGTTCGTTGGTGTGAATGTTTGCCATTTCTGTTCCTCATGCTAGGTAATTTAGTGGATCATCTGCTGATGGGCTTGACGTACCCAAATGAAGGTATAAAGGCTGCTGTCTGCTACTTGTATGGCAAGCTGTACTCCTCTCCTGTTGGCACAGAACGGCTCTCAGCACACTTCGAAGAAAGGCTGTGTGGTCTCTTCTTGAATACTTTGGGGCATGCACAGACAAAGGAGCTGCAGGTTAATTGTTTGGGTAAGGCATTGGTGAGAGAAACTGCAAGGTGCAAGGGAAGGCTGAGAATGAGGGAAGAGTCCTTGGCTGGTTTAGACTCTCTAATGTGGGCTGTTCCTAGAGGAGCTTTTTGCTGCTTCTCTGAAGCAATCAATCCTTTCTGTTGCTCTACAGCATCAAATGGCCCAGACCTGCTGCTGAGCTCCCCCAGCCCTCCATTGTCCCTCGAGCCCCACGTTTGCCTGGCACTGACTAATCGTTGGGGTCTCTTCAGAGCTTGCACTGTCTCAGTTTGATGTTTCATCCTAGGAACAGACCATCCCTCAAAGTGTCTGAATGCAAATGCTATGCACAGACAGGTGGGTTTTGTAGAGCAGCGGGATGGATTCTAACAAATTCTAACAAAAGTCTTCAGATGTGAGGCATTATGTTATTTAGGTTAGAAAGCTAATGTGGAAGTGGCACTTTCTTGCATTTATGCTTCCAGCTGCATGTATCAACTGTTGCTGTGGAGCACAGTTTCAGCCTTTCTGACATGGCTTGTTTGTAAACCATCCAGGGAATTCCTTTTTCTTGTAGGAGGTAAGCAGGAACTGGATTGCTCCTCAGATCATCTACTCAGTTACTAGAAATGGATGATGATTCCTTTGAAAGTAGAACTCCATAGCTCAGATGATACCCCTTGTGAATTTGTATTGACGTGTACTGATAATTTGCATCAATACCTGTGGCAGTGCTCTATACTTTTATAGTGAGAGCTTTTTTCTGTGTGTGGATATCCTTTAGCTAAACATGGCTGTTTCAGTAAGAGCCTGTGAAAGTAGAAGGGGAAGATAAATGCCTGTTCTCTAGGAAGTAATCCAGGGAAAATGTCTAGTTATTGTTGGCTCACTGACTGTGGCTTGGAGAAAAATACAGGTCAGGAGCTCTCCCAGGAAACAGTTTAAAGGCTGGGTACTGGAGCACAGAAGACGATGAGAGTAGAGTGCTCCTGAGATCATGCACCAGTGCACATGCATGTCTCTGAGAAGGAACAGGGAGCAGATCAGACCTAGCAAAAACATGAGCAACAAGGGGCTGCAAGACATGGGGTTTGTGGCTTTATTTGGGGATACAGTGAGAAGCACCTCCCTAAAACGGAGGTGAGGGCCTTTGTTAGGGGTGCAGGAAAGGGGAGGAAGTTGGCAACAAGTCTTAGGCTGTAAATACTCCTGTGTTCGTATAATCCTTGCTATACCCAGTATGGTGCTCACTCTTGCTCCCCCTTTTGCAGGTTTGCTAAAGGAGCTGCTGAAATCTGACCATTTTGTATCCACTCTTATGAATAATTCAAAGACAGAGGAGGAGTCTGAGAACCCTGATGTTTTACAAGGGGAAAATCCACTGCCACTTGTGCTCAAAAAGGTGATTGCTGAAGTAGTAGTGAATTGTTGGTAGACACAAAGAACCTGCTGACCTGTACTGAATCTTTATCTGAGGTGCTTGAGTATGCTGTTGCCAACACCAGCAGTAGAGGCTGCAGTGGGAAATGGGGACACCCCCGTAGGTCACCTCATTGTTCATTCCTGCATCCTGGACGGGGGGAAGTTTTACTCGTGGCATCAGCTGATTTTGCTCACTCACACTTGAGGTCTGATACAGCACTGGTAGTGCCAGCATGACTAAGCATGGGGGCAGAGCTATTCTTACTCATAATCTTCTCTGTTGTTGTCCTCATTTTGCATTTTTTTTGAGTGTATTTGGTCCAGTGCTTTATCTTGCCTTAGCAAGTTTAATCCGTGAACTACACACCGAAAGAGAGATATTAATTTATGTTTGTGGCTAGTTGACCCTGGCTGGATGCAAGGTGCCCACCAACATCACTCCCCTCCTCAGCTGGACAGGGGAGAGGAAAATATAATTAAAAGCTCGCGGCTCAAGATAAGGACAGGGAGATCACTCACCAATTACTGCCACAGGGAAAACAGACTCGACTTGGGGAAATCAGTTTAATTTATTACCAATCAAATCAAAGTAGGGTAATGAGAAATAAAAACTGAATCTTAAAAACACCTTCCCCCCACCCCTCCCTTCTTCCCAGGCTTAACCTTACTCCCAACTTTCTCTACCTCCTCCCCCTGAGCAGCTCAGGGAGTTGGGGAATGGTGGTTGTGGTCAGTTCATCTCACGTTATCTCTGCCGCTCCTTCCTCCTCAGGGGGAGGACTCCTCACACTCTTCCCCTGCTCCATTGTGGGGTCCCTCCCACAGGAGACAGTCCTCCACGAACTTCTGCAATGCCAGTCCTTCCCATGGGCTGCAGTTCTTCACAGATGGCTCCAGCATGGGTCCCCTGCAGGGTCACCAGCCCAGCCAGCAAACCTGCTCCAGCCTGGGCTCCTCTCCACAGGGCCACAGGTCCTGCCAGGAGCCTGCTCCAGCCTGGGCTTCCCATGGGATCACAGCCTCCTTTGGGCACCCCCCTGCTCCAGCATGGGGTCCTCCCCAGGCTGCAGGTGGAGATCTGCTCCACTGTGAGCCTCCATGTGCTGCTGGGGCCCCACCATGGGCTGCGGGGGAATCTCTGCTCCGGCGCCTGGAGCACCTCCTGCCCCTCCTGCTGCACTGGCCTGGGTGTCTGTAGAGTTGTTTCTCTCACATATTCTCACTCCTCTCTTCAGCTGCAGTTGTGCAGGGTTTTTTTTCGCCCTTAAATATGTTATCCCAGAGGCGCTACCACTGTCGCTGATGGGTTTGGCCTTGGTCAGCAGCGGGTTCATCTTGGAGCTGGCTGGCATTGGCTCTGTCAGACATGGGGGAAGCTTCTGGCATCTCCTTGCAGAAGCCACCCCTGCAGCCTCCTGCTACCAAAGCCTTGCCACGCAAACCCAATACAATGTTTTAAATTTTAAAATGTAGAGGAAACTGTTTCCTACTCATATCTGCATAGTTGACTTCCTGTCTCATTTTGACTTTTGTTTCCCAACAGCTTTTGTTGACCAGAGATGAGATGTTACAGGCAGCAAGTTCTCACTGTGTGGCTGCAGTGCTGGTTCACTCTCCCAGCAGATATGCTCCTGCTTTTATCCATGCAGATGTCCCAGGTGAAGAAATGCAGTGGCATCTTACTGTTCATCTCCCAATATCAAAGCACTCCCTGGCTGTTTGTTTTAGGAATCAGTCTAGCTCCATGAACTCCACTGATGGCATAATGTGTGTGGTGACCATTTTATACCAGTAAAAACGGCTAATGTGATTTTAGGAATAGAAGGGGAGAGTAAGTCCTTGAGGTCAAGGTCCTCTTGCAGGACCGTAGATACAAGCCTAAACAGGCTGGGGTTCCATCTTATCCCACTGAGTATTGTAAGTCTGCACAGAATGTGGTCTAGGATTTAGCTTTAGAATGCAGCTGTGGGCGATGGTTTATTATTTCTCTGTAATCCCAAAAGACAGAAATGCTTTCATTTTACAAATTCTTTGTGAGATGTAAAAGTTCTGAGGGGAAAGAAAAAAAAAAAAAGAGATCACTGCATCTGTGGTAAAGCTTGCTTTGTGGCTTTTCGTTTGTGCCAAAGGCTAGAGCCGCAATTCGGCTCCTGCCTGCTGAGTTTGTGCTGGGAAGATGCCTGCCTGCAGGACTCTGCTCTCCAGTCACCTTGTTTTGAAGACGAGCCTACCCCCAAGCATTGACTCCATCCTCCATTCCTGCCATTTCATAATACAACTGTTCTCCCTGTGGCTGTTGCTATGTTTCCTTGCTTCCTCCTCCTTCCTCTGCTCTGTTCTAGAAGCAGCTGTGCCATGCTGTGAGCAGACTGCCTCTTACCAGGGTGACCTTACTTGTGTGTGTGTTTGCAGAATTCCTGTTTGAGTGTCTCCTGTGCAAAAGTGAAATTCTCATCTGGTCAGTGTATTGCTGCCTGCTCCTCCTAACTGAAGAGCGCCTCTTCTTCTCAAAGTGTCACACAGTCTATGGTGAGTCACCAACCTTTCTGACAGTGGGATTGCAGTGATACTGTGGGCATTTGTTGTGCCTCTAGCTGAATTTCAGTGCTTTACACACAACCACAATTTCCAGTCAGGATGGATAAAGGACTGAAAATGAGTACCTATCAGACATGTTTGTGATGTCCAACATAGCTTGAATTTACAGTGTCACTGTCCTAATGAGTTCCTGACGAGCATGCGTTTGTTATAATAACAAGTTATCATGACTGACACTACCTAGATTACTATTATGTGTTTCTGTGGACATGCCAAGAGTGGATTTAGGAAGAAGGGCTAAGTTCCCTCCGTGCTTCTGGACTTCCCTCCAGCAGTGGAGGTTGCGGCGTGTTATCAGGGAGTTGAGTGAACACTCAGCAGTTTTGGGCAAGTGCTTTTTGTCAGTGGCTCAGAAGAATAATTGTTCAGATCTTTCTTCCTTTTTAAAAATGAATTTTGCTTCCATCCTGGAATTCGGGGTGTTAAAAGACCTCTCAGTGACTTCTTTTGTACATGTGCAGGCATTGAATCTCTGGTGAGGAGTCTCCAAGATGTCCTGCAGCTGAACAATGTGGAGTTGCACAAACAAGGGCTCCTGCTCTTCACTGAAATACTGAAGCGGTAAGCGAGTACCCCCATCAGGCTTGCAGAGTTTGGTGCCCCACAATGGAGGCTGTGATGCTTTTGCTTTTTACGGTTTTTGTCCAGGACCAAATATCTACACCCCCAGAGCCTTTGTGTTTGAAAGATGCTCCTAAACAAATGCATCTCCCTTATTCTTCTACAGAAGGGCCTGATGGTTGTTTCCAAACCTCCCAGCTTGTCCTTTTTGCATATGCATCCACCAGTATACCTGCCTCTTCCTGTTTCCTTGCCAATCTGGGAGGTGAAGTCTCCTTTCAGCTGTAGATAGAGCAGGAGGGAAGGCTTGGAAGGTCCTGGCATATGCGAGCAGGGCAGCTCCTGCTAAGTGCACCTCTGTGACAAAACAGAGCATGCAAATTCCATGGCTTCTAGTCTTGTATCATCATCTGAGCTAAATTCAAACAGCAAAACCAAATTCTAGACTGAAATACTAATGTCTTCTGTCACTTCTATCCTGTTGTTTTCTGCTAAGGAATAACATACCCTGGCTTATTTTTCTTCTGTGCTTCCTGTTCTTGCCTCTATGATCTTGTTCCTGTCCTGTCACGCTAGTGACAGAGTCTTGTTTTTGCCACTTAGTTCCCCCAAGAGAGCCCTTGAGCTGAATTTTGGAAATGTCATAGTCAATTTTGTAGCATGTGGCAGGGTAAAAAGGAGAAGGAAAAGCAGCAGTGCTAGAACAGTGTGATGATGCCAGTGTGGGATCTGTCAAAAAGAGAAACTAGGATGTGGGAAACACTAATTACAGCGTTTATGCTTGTAAAACAAAGAGAATGCTCTCTGCAATTATTCTCATTTTCTAGCACACTCATTCTGTTTCTCTGAGCTTTGCCTTAGAAATGGTGTTTTATTTAAAACTATCTCATAGTGGGGAGAGGGGGCTCATCCTGGAACCTCTCCTCTTGTTTTCTCCTTGCAGCTGCATTCTCTTGACACTGGTGGTGTCCAAGCAGGACAGGCTGCTCCCCTTGGCAGTATGTCAGGAATGGTGGGTAGCTGTCCCTGGAGTGCCCCTTGTCTCTCCCAGCACAACCGGAGTGGCAGGCACAGTTTGGGGCCCCAAGACGAGAGGCTGCAGGAAGCTGTGAGAGTGCTGTCCTTCACACTTTTCTCCCAGGCCCCGAAGACATCATAGTGCACCATATTGCACGTGGGTTTGTGCCTCTTGAGTGAGTCAGCAATACTCCTCCATCCCTTCCTCCCTGCGTGAGTCAGTGAAGACTTTTTTTTTTCCCTGATGTGTTTTACTTCAGAAGGTCAGTGATTAAAGAAAGGAAATACAGAGGATTAACAGAATTACAGTATAAGTAGAAACAACTTGGAAGTTCAGCACATCACTTACAGCTTGCGCCAGAGACTGCTCCTGGTGCCCAAGTCCCACAAGGCCTTTTCCCTGCCTTGCCCACCTTGCGGCTTTTTCTCGTGGCAGAATGTGAGGTGACTACTAAACTGGGTTTCATCCCACTGAGTGACTAAAAAGAGTAGTTCTGCCTCTGTTCACTTTTTGCCATGTAGCTGGGCTACTAGTGTAATTTCTCCTGAATTTCACTTTTCTCTCCCATTTGTGCATGGGAGCATGTGCTCCTGGCTTGCTTTAGTCAGGCACGTCTGTGAAAACAGAATAACGGGATACTTTTGGCTCCCAGGTCTGGCTCCTGTCATGCTGTGCTGCTTTTCTTGCTTTTCTTCAGAGAGGGCCTCTGGCAGGCTATTAGTGGATCTTGTCTGCACGTAGCTGCCTGTCTTCCCGACTGTACCTGACTTGCCAGGAACCAAATGAGCACAGCCTGCCGTTTACACAGCTCTGTCCACTAATGGGATTAATGGCTTGCCATCCTTCCATGCTCTCATGCTGAATGCTCAAAGGTGTTGGACCGCAAGGTGATCAGATGACCAAAATGCTCACTATCAAGAAGAATTGTCAAAACAGTTGGATTGTGTTTATTTTCCTGATTACTTTTCAAGTTCAATAAAGTCCCTGTCCTTCTGGCAGCATCTGGCATTAGAAGTGCTATAGGACTGTGAGAGAAGCTATTCTCATGGCATCGTCCTTGTTCTAGGGTGGTCGTGTTTGCTTGTTTACTCAGAAATATGAATTGCCAGATGAACCCGCAAATGCCAGAGCAGATGGCCTCAGCATAGAGTCCTAGGCAGAGAGATCACTGTGTTTTGCAAAGCCTGTTTTTCTTGTGCTTTTCATGTTGGTGTTTGCTGGTGCAGTCACACGGTTATCCAGGCTGTGGGTTTTTTTTCATCGTAGCAGGGCTCCAGACCTGCTGAAATTCACTCTTTGTAGCAAACCCCCCACCTGCTGAAGACTATGTCCTTGAGAGCAGCTGGCTCTAAATACTGAAAAGCATGGCTGGAACCACTCAGCTCAGCTCTCCATTTGGTGAAACGAGGAGAGGGCACTACAGTTACTTAACTCTGACAATATTCTCCTCATTTGTTTCCTCTTCGCAGGCAACCAGTGGAAATTAACTTATTCACACACCGAGGTGTATGTATAGAAGCCATTGATGTTTTGATGGAGACAGTGAACTGCCCAGTGCTGGAGGTGGTAGTGGAGGCTGTGAGAGCTGTGGCAGCTTTCCTGAGGTAGGCAGGAAAGTATTTGCAGGCTTTTCTTCAGATAGAACTGTTGATACCATGTTGGTTTCTGCAGCTCTCCTGTGGCTGTGTGGGTGAGTGTGCTCTGCAGTGGGACTTCTGGCTGAGACAGGCGTGGGTACAGCAGAGCTAGCTTCCCACCCGCCTCAAAAGGCTGCCAGGGCAATGAAGCTGTGGTAGGCAGCAAGTCAGTGCAGCAAGGACGTAGTGTCCCAGGCAGGCTTGTACTGCGGCTCCTATGGCTTTGTCACTCTGCACCCCATCCATAAGAGCAAGCATAAGACTCTGTACAGTCATATGCTTCCTGACAGTAGTGGGAGTGGACGGTGAATGCAGTGAGGGTGTGTTTGGGCTCACATCTGGATGAAGGCACTGTTCAGATACTGTGACCTGGGCTAGAGAGAAGTGGCAATGGCATATTGCTGTCAGAAGAACAGTTATTTCTGCTGGTGTTGCCTTCCCAGGTGGAATGTCCTCAGCAGGGAATGTGCATGCTGTCTTTGTCTCTACTTGTTCAGGAAGGACCATCTGAGCTCCCCTCCAGTCCCATATGAAGAGCTGCAGAAGCTGCTGGAGGCAGTGCTGAAGCGATGTGCCGACCTTTCTCCACCACAGAGTAGCAAGAGGCATGCAGTAAGTCAAAAGTTGTTGTTGATTGTTGGTAGGACCAAGCAGAACAGGGATGATCCTCCTAGCACACTATGTGGATGTTGTATATATGTTCCGTCCCCTTACCCTAAGGCTGTTGAGTTCTCTGGTGTTTCTTTTGATCCTCATGCCTCGAGGTGGTACCAATCTTTGTCTCTGAAGTAGCTGAAGATGGGTGCTGGTGAATGTTGTCTTTCTAAATTAATGAAGATTTGTGGGACACCACTTGAGTGTGCTGCTCTCTTTATATGTCCAATACTCCAAGGTCATTTGAACTTCCCCTTCTTCGGGCCCCCATCTTGTAGGCTGCGTCAGTCAATCAATTTTTTTGGCAATAAACATCTCTTGCTGTGCCTTCAGACCAAGAGGGTCATCATATATGCACTGTGATGCCTCAGCCAGGGAGCTCATAACTACTCTTTGAACTGCAAATCCTTTCCTGTTCCTGGAATATGTAGTTAGTGTGATGTGCTGCTGGGACCTGTGCACTTCTGAGGAGAGCCCCCATTACAGATGGCTAGTGAAAAGACAAGGGCTGAGCCTTCTGGCTCTAGGCTTAGAGCCATGTAGGTTTAGATCGCATGTCTGTGGTGGCATGTACATCTTGGTGGAGTACCAGAGCTCCAAATGTCTGCTGAACTATCTTTAGGCCCAAGTTCTGTGGTAGCAGATGCCTGTCTTCTCTGGCTGGAGAAGGCAGAACTGGTTTCTGCCCCATAGGCAGATGCTGGTCAGTCTGTTTGCATGCACACAGAATGTGGTGTCCCATTCAGAATAAGGAGCTTCATAGGAAGGAAATTAGGCAGGTAGTAAGGACATCCAGGCTGTCTTTAATGGGAGAAAAGTGGAAATGATTGTTCCTGTAGTAAGGTGTCTCAGCACCAAATGGAGAAGGAGTTCTGAACAGCCAGGTGCCAATGTGTCACTGTGCCCTCCTCTGGTAGTATTTGGAGAAAGCCACCACAACAAGTTAAGGCTTAAAGGCAGATTTTGAGTTCCTAGTGGTTCCCAGTTTGGGCAAATGATTAACTCTGATGCTGCAGTTAGCTTCTGGCTGAACTCAGTAGGATGCTGTGTGGGAACAAGAGCTAGTGCATGGATAGTTGCTTACAAATCTGAGCCAAAGTAGAGAACTTTTAAGATTTCAGTGCTGACCAAGGAGAGAAAATGTTCAGCATTGTCTGAAGAGCAATTGGAAGAAAAAAAATTTTTAAAAATACCAAGTTTTCCCAGAAGGGTTTGAAGCTCCATTAGCTGAGCTGTTTAAAACTCAGACCAAACCATGGCAATACAGACTGTAAAGACATGACAGTGCAGAACTACTAGCTCTGTAGCTCTGTCCTCCCTAAGAAGAGCACAGAAGCTCTCTAACTCTGCCCTCCCTGGGGAAAGCACAATAGTAAAAAAACAGTTATGTGAAAGAAGTGAGTGAAGGGAGATCAGTAGTTCCTCCTGCTGCTGAGATCGGAGAAGAAAGCTATTTTTACCAACAGTGAACTTAAGACTTCAAAGACTTCTCTTCTTTAACAGGGTGATCTCCTATTCTCAGTGTCTCACAGTCACTCAGCAAACAGAAATCTCAGCAGAGTTCCTCAGAGACAGGGCGAGTTCTTGCTTAACACCCTGGAAAGTTTCAGAAATGCTTGCAGGTGAGGACAGGTCAGGGAGGTGGGCATGTGGGTGATGTGTGTGTCCATGTCCATCTGTCCTTCTGTCCTTGTAACAGAGTTTCTCTACCCAACACCACCAATGAAGTATCATAGGTGAGTTCCATGCATAGCACTTGTCAGTCAAACAAAAGAAGGAGGGATGTGTAGTGATAGTGAAAATTTTGTGACACCTGGATGTGTCTCCCAAGAAATTTGCCTGGGACCTATCAGTTTATTTCATGTCTCTGGCCTTTGAAGACCTGCTTGAAAATTAGCCAAAACTGATGACGATGCAAACATGGTTGGAAGGTATGTGTGAAACCATATTCCTGTGCCCTGGGGTATGTGGTCTCGCTGCTGGGGCAGATTAACCATTCAGCAAATGTGTATCTGCTCCAGATGCTGGCCTTGTATTTGCTCGTGTCTGTGACCTGTTACTGCAAGTGGGTTTACAGGCACCAACTTTTCCTGTTTTTCTGGATGAGAGCTATCTCTCACCCTTAGCGGCACAGCAGACGGTAGTGTATCAAATCGGATCTGTTGTTAGGGAAGTCTGGCCAACTTTGTTATTTTGCCTTGCATCACTTGCATTTGGTTTGGCTGAGATAACTCAGTCAGAAGCAGGTGTCCCTGTCTCCACTGACCCAGTGTCTTGGGGTGGTATTAAAGGGCACTCAGCTTCTGTCATGGTTTTTAGATCAGCTGAATGGTCTCCTGGCAGATTTTCATAAGGTTTGCTGTATTGTGTGCTCCAGGCACTCTGGCCTGTCTGGGAACCTTTAGTCTTGCCACACTAGGGCTTTCCACAGCAGTTACTTTCTTCAGAGAAGCTAAGTCTTCCTTTCCTAACTTGTACTGTTGTGCAACGTTGCTGACTTTTAACAGCTTCACTCCAGAGGTAATTGTGTGATTGCCAGGTTCCTGTGTGTCCAACCCATCAAGTATTTGTGGGGTCCTTAATGGTGAAAGTTGTGACGGAAATATGGTGTCTCCTGACTTCTTTACAGAGTGAGAAGGATTCCTCTCTCTGCTGGTATCTGCTGTGTGTTTGTAGGTTAGCAGTGGAATTCCAGAGTGACCCCATGGCCCAGGAGAATGCTTTCACTGCCCCCAACTCTGAGAGCAAGGACACGCTGAGCAACTTCTGTGAGTTCCTGTTGAGGATTTGTGACAGTCTCTGCATCCCCATGGTCATGGTAGGGTTTCTTTTGAACTTGGTCTATTCCTTGGGTACCTGGAGAGGTGCTTTCAAGCACCAAGAGTGGGTTGCATAAGTGGGTTTGGGGGAAGAAAGCATGTAGAGTAAACCAAGAACAGCGGTGGCATTTGCCACCTCTCCAGAGCCAAATGTGGCATTATACAGTTCATGCAAAATGGGAATGTATGGTCTCAGAGGGTGGAGAAATTCATAGAGCTTCCATGTAGATGGCAGTGTCTTTCTTCAGACTGCGCAATCCCCTTGGCCTACCTGCCATGTTATCTAATCCATGGCAGCTCTGGATGTTGCAGAAAATGAAGAGTGCCTGAACCGTTGTTTCCCCTTCTGCCACTTTTTCAAAACTTGTCTGTGTCCTGGAAAGAAGGGGTTTTTTGCGTCTGCAATTTTGTTTTCACGCTTTTTTTCCAGAAGGTATTGAGGAGGCTGCCCAGTCTACACAGCGAGGGCAATACTAGGCATTGTGCCTCAGTAAGGCCAGGGATATGGTTTAAAAAGCAGCCGTGGAGAGTCATGTGTGCTTTAGTGCTCCGTACAGAGCTGTCACTAAGACGCTTTGAGCAGAATTGTCAAAACAATGGGACTCTGTTTGTGGTTCTAAATGTTGAGCAAATTTTGCTTGTGCTTTGCCACAGGCTCAGGTGTATGGATTATTGCAGTTGTTGGGAGCTTGGAGATGTTTTGGTGTGTATTTCTTTTAACCAATCTCTTGGTAGGCAGCTGCAGTGGCATTGCTGTTCTCCTCCCTGAAGGGAGGGTGCAGTGCACGTCCAGTTTGGCAAAGCTGCAGTCAGTCTGCTGTTTCTTGCTCATTGAACTTGGGTAAAAATTAATGGAGTGTGTGAAAATTGTCCAGTGACCTTCTACCAGAGTGAGTTGAGTGGCTCTGTTCTAAACAGTTTAGGGCTGGACTCTGTAGAGAACTTAAGCGCCTGTGTCTGCCACTACTCAATAAAATGCTGAAGCACGGGCGTTAAGTGTTAACTGAAGTCAGCTGCATTTAAGCATATGTCCTATGTTGTACACCACACTGGAGAATTAGCCGTCTGACCTGTAAGAGCAGTTATTTCCAGGGCAATATGGGCAGTAATGTCAGTCACCGTGCATTAAGGCCTAACTGGTTGCCAGCTGGAATCAAGAAGTTGTTTCTGGTTTGATGTAATGTCTTGCAGAGTTAGCAGCACAGCTCATAATGTTGGCAGAGGGGAGCGTTAGTTGCTTTCAAAGTGCTCTGTAAGCCTGTGTACTTGCTGCCAGGCATTTTGGTAGAACTGTTACTCCATTTGTTTGGATTTAGAAATCTGACTTTCTGGGTGGGCAGGAGGCCGGAAGAAAGCTGCTGCTTTCAATGTTTATTGTGTATCACACACCTGATCTTTTCTTCTTTACACAGAACTACCTGGAAAGGGCTGTCAGCCCATCAGTGATGGAGGTTTTCATCTCAACACTTAATACCCTCTTTACAGTGGTGCCAAACATGCGGAATAAGTTCTCCAAAAAGCTGGGTATGGGGGTAGTGTGGGATCATGTTCTCTGTGCTCTTAACTTAACTGATGGAACTTGCTGCAACTGCATATTACTGAGGCAATGAGCTTAATGAGACTTTATGTGGAGCGTTACATTGCATGTTTATATGAGCAAGAATAGAGTGCACAGTCAGGTCCAGCAGGT